GATAGACTGTTACTATGGCGTATCCAGCGTCGTAACTTCATGCGCTGAAACAAAAGTAGGCAAACTTTTGGGCTTCTATTCACCTTTTCCTTCCCATCCTCAGTACAGAAGATCCTGTAGCAGGCTTTCAGTAGCTATACGGCTATAAGGCAATACAGCCGTGTCCCGAGTTCTCTATCTTCTACTTATCGCGTAGTCTGACAGGCTCAGTGCAGGCGTAACCGATAGACGGTCATCCACGATACAGCAAATGGTGTACACCAGAACTCTAGAGACTCACTGGCGCCGCTTCAATCTCCGAATACAGTTGCCCAAGCGCTCCGTAGAACTGTTATTAATTCAAACTGGCTGGTCCCCAGTCTACACTCACACGGTCCTCCAACGAGGGGGAAATTATTCGTGACCCTTCATTCGCCTGACACTCAGTGTCAATCTCTGTCTCACCCAGATCCAGCTGCGAGGGAACCGCGTATCTCCTCTCCGATCGTGGCAGCCTTGACGACCGTTACGGGGCTGTCCATAAACTGAAGCATGTCAGTGCAATGATGACATGGCACTGTCATATCTAGTGTGAGGGCACTCACGCAACTATTCTCTTCAGAATCTCGACCACAACCCCTCGCCCACTCAAGCCCGCAGTCGCAACCACGAGTGAACTTTTCATCCTGCCCCGTCTCTGGGACGAGCTCTTTCGTACCCGATGATTTTTCGCTCAAATTTGGCTAGCCTGGTCTTCTGCTACAATTTTGGCTTGCCTCTTTCACAAGTTCAAATCCGTACATGGCGTTCGGTTGGCCCTACGCTTTAGCACCATGCCCCCATCCAAACTGTTCCCCGCACCTGACTTTTCTACAACAGTGCAACCAGTGAGTCTGCTTAGTTAGAGAACAAACCACATTTTTGAGACAAAACTCGCCATGTTCTCCCAATTTGAATTATCCCATCCTTATCTCCACCGCCCAAGGACACTTATGGCCAGCAATTGCCTTCAGTTTTAGTTCATGCCGGCCGGCTATGTCTTTGAATCAGTTGGACCTCATTCACATTGTTCCCTACGAGTTTGGAAAGAAACCTATTATTATTGTTACATCGAATATTCCTCACTATTTATGACATTGTCCTCTTCGTGCAATCCGCACTCCCCCATGCCCCCAGTCATGCATCATTCTGACTTGTGCTCATGCCAGACGGTATGCCACCCACAAGTTGGGAATAAACATTATCATTATTATCATGGTTTCGAAACTTCATTGGTGCAGATTTCTCGGGAACGCGGATATTTTCTATTCACTTTAAACTGAAGCCAGCTTCGATGAAAGAGCTATACGGAATCCCTGTCCAGAAAGTTCACGAGACTAGTGGGACGTTCACGCCAAAAGAAAAGCACATTTTCGGATGGACGGCAAGCCACGTGAAAGGATTCGGCGTCTTTTGGAAGAGAGGCATCAATAATTTTTCAAAATTTGAGTACAGTCGGCAAAAGAGCTGACACTTGGTATAATGCAAAACCCTTCCAAATCAGAAATCCGTCAGTGGAAGATACAAAAACAAGTCACCATTCTTGGCCTTGCCAGGAAACGCAAGTGTGCTGTTTGGATACATAAGGCATCGCTGCATAAATAAGCCAACCACACCCCATTGGGGAACAGGAACTAGGAACCAACGAGCGCTCAGTGATTATATCTGAAGTCTGCAGTAAACGCTATGCAAGTCTGCATTCCGCCCAAGTGACTCAGTCACACTTAGCCTTCTCAAAACGTAACTACTTACGAGCTCTAACCAACATGTTCTTCGTAGGGTATGACATTCGTCAACTCTTACATAAAACAAACATGTTCTGCGCTTTGTGGTCAGACAAGGTCCATGCAGGGATCCTGAATAAAACCTAGTTTACGCTGGCTAAGCATCTCTACCTCATGTTTCGTCAGTCACCAGACGAAGACAATCTGCCCTCTGCTTGGAGGAAGGCAATTGCCACGCCAATCGACGCAACTTGCGAACGACTAACATGCGGCAGCTGCCGAAATTTCAGCCTAATAAGCGTACCTTTCGAGGTGACAGAACGTATTCTGAAGTGGGCCATCTGGATCACCTCCCTACTAGCAACTTGGTATCCCTAGTTCAACACGGATTTCCCCCAAACCCCACTTGCGTGACGAACATCCTCGTATTTGTGGACAGCTTAACTGAAGCAAACGACGAGGTACTCATGTCGAATGCCAAACTCTTCGACTTCTCAGAAGCGTTTGATCGAGTCCCACACGCACCGCTACTCCACGGGTTTGTGCCTCACGGTATTCCATGGAAAATTCGTCGCTGGATTAAGGCGTTTCCATCAATCAGAACATTCCGAGTAAAAGTAAGCTTGACCGGTTCTCCTCAATCGCGAGTCTCCAATGGATTTACTCAAGGCTCCGTTTTGGGACCAGCACTGATTCTAATATACGTTCGTGTCTTGTTTTTGGGGACAACCTGAAATCCTAGGGCTCCAATTCCAGTGCATTTCAAATGGATGCTGACGCTACAAAGCAGTGACTGTTGCACTGGCACCTTCCCCTGAATGGCTGTGTGTCCATATGTCATTTGGAGGAGACTCAGCGAATACCTTTGTCATGCATGGCGAAAAAGGACCAGGAAACATAGAGAAGATAGACGCCAAAAGGAATTCGGGTACCTGGCTTCCTTCAAACTTGTCCTTCTCAACGTACCATAGGAAATCGGTCCAGAAGGTACTCACCACTTTAAGAATGATTCGGCACACCTTATCCCGTAGTGTTCACATGAACTTCCAAACACTCTGTGGGGCCTACGTCAGGCCGCTCCTTAAATACGTCAACCAGGTTGTCTACTCGGAACGCACGAAAGACGTCACCCTCATTAAGCGTGTCCAGCGAGCCACCACGAGAGTGGTTCACGGATTCATGGATTGATACACAGGATCGAGGTCGGTTTTGTACTTGTCGGTCAGTGGCTGCCGTTCGCCTGAAAGGCAGAAGTGAAAAAGGGTGCAGCACTGCTCTTTGTGTTCTCAGTGTGGGGCAGTATGCTTGCCAGCGTGAGGATTCGCAAGATGTCTAATGTTGCTTTAAACTGGGTTCTAGAAGGAGCGTAGACAACCGTCGGAGGGAGGTCATTCCACGCACTTACTAACCGAACTGAGAAAAAATTTCGTTTCACGAATGTGTGTGGTCTGAGCCTGAAAATTTTCTTACTATGTACCTGCCATGTGTTTGCTTGGTCAACGGTAAAAAACCTGTTTGCCAAGCTTTGTTCAAACAGCATAAGTAAGAAGTAGGTCCCCTCGGAGGCGACGGTACTTCAGCGGAAAGATATCAAGCATCGCGAAACGCGCTTCGCGGTCCACGGATTTGAGGCCGGCAACCATTCTCGTAGCGGCCCGCTGGACACGCTCAATGAAGGTGGCGTCTTTCGTGCGTCCTGAGTAGACAACTTGGTTGGCGTACTCCAGGAGCGGTCTGACGTAGGCCCCATGGAGTATTTGGAGGTCCACACGAGTAATACGGGAGAAGGTGCGTCGGAACATCTGTAGAATGGCGAATGCCTTTGGGCCGATTTCTCATGGTGCGGTGAGAAGGACAAGTTTGAGGAGATCCAGATACCCAAATCCCTTTTGGCATCTATTCTCATGATGTTTTCTGGTCCTTTCTCACCATGCATAACAAAGGCATTCGCTGAGTCCCCTCCAAACGACATATGGACGCACTTTTCGTCATTCAGAGGAAGGTGCCAGTCCAACGACCACTGCTTGGCAGCGTCTACATCCATTTGGAGGGCACTGGCATTGGAACTCCAGGATTTCAAGTCGTCCGCAAAAAGTAGACATGGACTTGCAAGAACATCTGGAAGGTCTTTTCCGTATATCAGAAACAGAACTGGTCCCAGGACGTTGCCTTGAGGAACTCCAATGGAGACCGGCACTGGAGAAGAGCGAGTCGAGCCTATTCTCACTCGGAATGATCCGTCTGATGGGAACGACTTGATCCAGCGAAGGATTTTCCCTTGAACCCCGTAAGACTCGAGTTCGTGGAGCAGCGGGACGTGTGGGACCCTATCAAATGCTTTTGAAAAGTCGAAAAATATGGCATCCGATATGAGTCCTTCTTCCTTGGCTTGGGTTAAGCTGTCCATTTACACGAGCATTTTTGTCATGCAAGAGCAGTTTGGGAGAAATCCGTGTTGATGTGGAGATATCAGGTTGCTGGAAGTAAGGTGGTCTAGGATAGCTCGCTTCAGAATGCCTTCCATTAACTTGCACGGCACGCTAGTGAGGCTTATAGGCCTATAGCTGCCAGGCGATGGTCGGTCACCAGTTTTGTAGATTGGAGTGACGATCGCTTCCTTCCAAGGAGAGGGAAGGCCTCCTTAAGGCCGGCATCAAGTCCGTGGACTGCGAAGCGCGTCTCGCGATGCTTGATCTCTTTCCCCTGGAGTACCGTCGCCTACGAGGGACCTACTTCTTACTTATGTGCTGTTTGAGAAAAAGCTTGGCAAACGCGGTTTTTTACCGTTGACCCAGCAAACACACGGCGGGTACATAGTAAGAAATTTTTCAAGCTCATACCACACATATTCGTTAGACAAAGTTTTTTCTCAGTTAGAGTAGTAGCTGTGTGGAATAACCTTCTTCCGACTGTCTTCCACGCAATGCAGCAAGTTCAAAGAACTGATAGGCGTATTCTATGCGAATCCTCGCGCTGGCAGGCATACTGTCCCACGCTGAGTACTTAAAGTTAAGTGCTGCTGCCTTTTTTCTCATACAACTTTCAGGTGAACGGTGGTCGGTGCTTTACGAGAACAAACCGCACTCGTAGAAATTGGGTGAAAGCCTCGATTCTGTGAATCAGTCCATGAAACCGCGTATGATCGATGGAAGATGCTGCCTTGTTTTAACTTATTAAATGCAATTACATTTTTTGGCGGTTGTTCAACTTACAAAGGAGTTATCATGTTGCACTGACATATTTTGAAAGATCTCATCCATGGGCTGCGATTTATCCAAAGTATACAACGTCGATATTCATTTAGAAAACGAGCTGGCTGTTTTCGAACCAAGGGATGAGGTTGCCGGTCATGTGATCATTCAGGCAGAGGAGGACACCGTAATTGACAGTGAGTTTATGTAAATAAACTCTAGGTTTCTCTACCATAATTATCAGTATTAATCGAATCGTATTCAGAAATAGTATTGGCTAAGTGGCGTGGAGTAACATATATGAAGTTCACCTGGTATTGGGCAAAAAGTGAAATTTTCATCAGAAGCCGACTCGTCTTTGAGTTCTCTTGCTTGATTTTAGGTGGGAGAAGCAAAAAAGGAAACCTACACGGCATCCTTTTTTCTATGCGACAAATTCAGGAACGAGGCTCGGAACACTTATTTTGCGAGGAAACATACTGTGTTTAAAATAAATCTCAAATATTCCATCTGATTTATACTTTATAGAACCCGTACGATGGGATGCGGTGACGAAATAACAAAATTCATAATCTGGTACAAAAGCCTCGAAGAATCAAGCCACTGCAATCCTGCCACTGATGCCCATAAATTTTCAGAATGCGGTAGACTCTTACGCTTAGCCCGTACCCAGCTCATCACACCACCTTTTGGGAACACACAAACTACTCAGCTAAACTACATTTCCGCCAGATTTCCATAAACACTCCACAACTGAAAACCCTAATGGTAAACATTACCCGGTAAGAAGAACAGCTGGTTTGCAAGACAGCAGCTAAGGAAGAAGGTCCGCCCCTCGTCTAAAATTAATGGTAACGCGTCATCCGTATCTCTTGAGGTTGCTCTAAATGCCTCCTGATTCAGACAAGCCCGACCCTTCTACCCCACCTCTTAGCACTTCACAGTGTACCAAACTCTTTTGGACAGTACCTATCCAGTTCAACTGATCTAACTATCGTTGCACCAAGAATATAGTACCAGGGACTTCCAGACAGTATCCATTGACTTTTTCATATTAGCTCTTCTTTGGACATCAACCTCTTTTGCCAGTTCGTCTGCCGCTTATGAACTACCATAGCATCCCTTCACTCCCACACCCATTAACTCTCAGTCCAACTTCAAGGACGAAATACTCCACCCGGTCCAACGGGTGCTATCATTCATCCACGTGTCGCACTCCACCTGTTATGGAGAAGGCAGTACTCCAAACATACTCAACTTTATCCGGACAAACAAGGAACTTTTGGCAAAATCTTCCTTGTATGTGGCTCTACTTGATTGCAGTGGCCATCTCTAAGTCATGTGCATCATAATGGCGATCTCTATCAGCAAGTCCTATCGTTGCATTATAACCAAAATCAATGTCTGGTGAAGACTAAAAACTGTAACTCAATACACATACTCCCAATTGTGCATACGTCAGTAACCTCCACTCACCGTTCAGCACTCTTGACAAGTTGGTTATTATCTCCTCCAAACACATTAACTTGAAAATTAGTTTCTGCAGTATGACAGAGAAGTGACTCACAATCGTTGCTGTGCGCCGAGTTGGCACGAACGATCTCCAAGTGACTAAAGTAGGGAGAGTTATGCTGTAACTCATTCATCAGCCAAAAACAACAAAAATTTTACAACTATCGGGGTTCGGGCAAACTTAAAATCTTGCATAACCATGTGAATTAATTTGCAAAACTTAGGATTTCTATATCTGACGAGTTTTTTGGAGTTCAGCTTTAGCCTCCTTTCCAAAGAAATACACTGTCGCGCCTCAGCGTCCCGTAACCACACGGTGCCGCCAGTCTAAGTAGCTTCTGTGATGTGTGCTGCAGTTTTAATGATAATGGCGGTGGAACACAAGCTGAAAGCCCTCAAGCAAATAATCGCCGTACATATCGGCGGAGTACATCCGAAAACGCCCGTACTAGCCGAAGACAGTCAATTCGCTATAACAACATTTCCAAACCCTGCTTTCTACGCCCACTGTTCACTTGCGCTGGAAGCGCTTTGTGATCCCGTCGTTTGTAAGGAGATCAGATGAACAGATTCATCAAACTTCTGACCAACCATAATCGTATGTGCTCATCTAAGCGAAGGGCCATGTTCGACCACAGCTGAAATGTCACTGCATGATACAACTGGAAAATCGTGAGTTTAGATATGATAGGTTTTCATCCACAAACCTCCTCCTTACCAGAAGTATCTTAACAGACTCTTGGGGGCCAGTATCGGCATGCGCGTCATTTATCTAGACGACTTTAATTCCCTCAATAGTGCAAAACACCGCATCTCGTTAGCAAAGCTAAGCTGGGTAAAAGGTGACGTCGGCCGAGTCTGGACAAGGGTTATCCTAATTAGATATGCCAGTCAGCGGTCAGTTGCAGACAGTTCGCCGGTGAGAGAACTAATTTGGTGCTGCATGCGAGCCTTTGGCTTTGATTTAGGCCCGCGAGCAAAATATGTGAGAAAAGTTAGCATATTTATTGACACAGTATAATATGATTTGTGCTAAATCATAATCTGTGACCCTGCCAGAAGTGTCATCTACGAAAGGAAGAAAGCACCAAAAAACACTTATCCTCATATCAATCTGATTTTTCACGGGAGACTCAGCTAAATTTCCCGTCTATGGGTCTTTTAACTAAATGTGATGCACAAGGGTTACTGCATGTTTTTAGCTCCAATGATATGGCAGATATGACAGCATATTTCCACAGGGAAAAATTTTCACAAGTTTGGTCAAAACTGTTCAGCTAACAATGCCTGGTTTAGCTCTTCTTGAGTCTTGTTGAGCAGCCACGATAACTGAAATTTTTTCAATCTTATGTATCCAAATTGGGCAAATGTTGACAAATGTCGATATTGAGCTGTTTAGGAGTTTCCAGTATTCTTTTGTGCAGTACATTTATTGGGGTAAGTACCAGTTTTTATTCAAGCCATTTTGGAATCGAGTGGCTGCACAAAAATTTTAATGTGACGGTGGTCCATCAAAAATCCATCCTACGCTACCCACAAACGTCTTTCATCAAATGATCTGGAGTCATTACAAAGGACTGAAGCACAAGTCACTGAAGCTAGTCGGGTCTCCACGTACACGAATCTTCAAAACCTGATGGCCATTGTACTTTATGGAAGACAATAGATTTGAATGTGGCTACACACAAAGCCAAAAGTCCTCTAACACAGTGCACACAACATTGCACCTGGTATGCAGCACATAAAAACATCGTCTAACTTGTCCGACTATCTCAACTCGAACATTTTAGCTCCTCGCACGCGATGACACAGTCACTCCAACTACTCAAAGCAACAAAAAACAGTCTTTCATAAAATACTCAACTTTCAGAAGAAACGCTGGTTCGATGATGAATACGTTGTGCTTTTGCATCAACACCAGCAACAAAACTGTCATATTTGCCAGAAATTTTAACCTCATCCGCTGTGCAATCACACGAGATGCTCTGAAGTAAAAATACAAGTAGAAGCGACCTCAAACTGAGGCAAATTTCTTCGTTCGATCATTTAAACACAACTGGTTTTATTGTACTGCAAGATCTGTTTTCCTCCTGGCTAACAGAAGTCCAGTGGTTAAATCTGTTATTTAATTAGCGTCATACAAATGCATCTACCGTGCTCCATAATAGATCAGAGCGTTGTCTACGTTATTCTCAAACAATATCTTCGAAAGGAAGCTGATTATGTCGTTCTCATGCTACGTACTTTGTTTAGGTATCCTCAAGACGAACACTCATCACACCACCACTAAGACTGTCATGTAGCATAGGCAGTGACTCACCACCGGGTGCTGAAGAGCAATTTGTTTCGTTAGAAGACATCCAGCTATAAATCCTACTAGAAAAATATTTAATGAAGACTCAAATCACACAGTATATTGAGCCACGTATAGAGTGTTTTGCAGAAACAGGTAAACTCTAGCTGGAGGTTGTAAAAGATGGGCCATTAAGCCACCTTGCTGACTTCAGTATATGGACTACAAACCATAAACCGTTTTTGCTGACCTACACAAGGTTATGCAAAATATTTACCTTTAATTTCAAAATTCTGGAAAGCTACAATTATCTGTGCAACAGAAGGCTGTTGGTATCGGTCAGGAAAATCAATCTGAGTTGCTGCAAACGCAAAATGACTCACCTTCAGATCCCTTATTATCGACATCATCAGTTATATTTTCTTCCTTTACTGCAGCTCATCTTCTATATACACGCCCCATCAACTTGGAAAAAACAGCCTAACAAATCCAGTCAGTCGCTATGCGCTAATTCCTTGTATTCTTCCTAACAGCGACTGATGTAAAACTCAAAAGCCAAACGGCGACAGATTCGACTTGAAACCAAGTAGTTGATATAAGGCCAAAACCCCACGCAGCACGCTACTTCTAACGCCGGTGACACTTGAATTTGTATACAGAGGTCTAATCTCACCAATAATGAAGTTCTTTTCCAAACGCAGAAATCCTTAAAACTCAAAAACTCTGAGCTATCCAGCTTCACTTCATCCTTTCAAAACGTCTGCCATCGAAAAGCGTTATCCTTTTGGAGTTGAAGCACAATACCATTCTTGCAGTGGATCATCGCCGGTTTAGGAGTACGTAATCTTGTCCCTCTTTGACTAACAGGGGAAGGTATCACGTAAGCCAGGTTTTTGAGGCTCTTCTATGGAATCAAATAGAATATTTTGTTTGTAAAACCGGCCACGTACTCGTGGTTATTATAAAATGGATTTATCGTCACCGAAAAACTCTAAACAAATTGTCAGTTCAAACATTGGGTGATAACAGTATGTGTTTGCTGGTTCACAACGTTGCCAAAGTTGGCACCATTCCATTTGCAGAGGCCCCATAAATAGCTATTTTCTTTTTAAATATGTCTCTTAAAACGATACTCTCAAAGTATCCGGAGAAAGACAGTATCACACTTAAAGGGCACTCTTAGCCGCTTGACCTTTTAAAGCCTCTGTTATCTGTTTTAGAGCGCTTAAATGCTACTTAGATGCCTGAAACAAAGTGATTTTCTTAAAACCGATTAAAGCGTTTTCAGGGGTAGACAGTCTTCTCAGCTGCGTTTACTTTTCAAGGACCGTTTATGGAATGCAACAGAATGTACTCATCTGGACTGACGATGAGACGTGTACGGCATCTCGAAAAGACAGGGTATAGATTTTGAGTCCGAGAATCGGACCTCAATTTTCTGAGTTTGAGGGTTAAAAATATATTTTCAAAATCTGGGTGGCACTTTTGTTTGTCTTACTTCTGAGTTGTAGTCACTATCAAAGTCAGAGATTTCCAGGCGAACAAATCGCTTGCACAAATATTCCTCAGACTTGGTCGAAATGAGTGCTCGTACCGGCGGGGTATAATCATCTGTTACGTATGACGCCAATATGAACAAGCTAAATCTACTGTGATCGCATGATTTTTCTTGCTCCAACCTTCACATATGAATGTCGTAGCCGGATTTCTTTATTATCCCGGTTGAAGAGGTGTTAATCAGTGACTGTCATGGCGTCTGTTCGGTTCTCCTGGTGGATAATTAATTGCCGGTGACTTCTCCTGACGTGGACTGAAGCTCCTGATGTACTAAGTCCCTCATTTAATCACTCCTGCCAACAACATCAGATGCTGACATACACAGTACAGGAGAAAAACTAAGGCCAGAGCTATTGGAGGCCTCTTCCTGCAAGTAAAGCTAGTGTATGCCGAAGATCAGAGATACCCTTTACAGCCACTTAATCTTTGTTAGGAGTCGTCAAAAGCGTGACCTCATGAAGTTCCAGGAGGTCCAAAATCCTCGGCTTTCGGCAATTAGTTCGAATGCTTAACCACTCGGCTACGAGCGGAGTGTCTTCAGTGCCATTGGCTTGCACTTGGAGTAGCTCTGTTGAGCTTTGAGCCAACCACACCGCAGACCGTATGAGCGTGGCCAAAAGATCAATTATTTGAACTACTAGCTCGAAGACCGCATGTTTAACGCCCTCTACTGGTGTTTCATATGAAGCACACTTCTAAGGTACCCCAGTAAAGATAAAGCAAGTGTACTGTACATCTCTGACGTTCTGCATAGAATGGCTTCATTTACAGGACGAAGTCTCCAGTTGGAATTTCTAAATCTTCTCACGCTACCAACAGAATCTGGCTGGAGACACTCGTTTACATGCAAAATCTACAGCCACTTTCGTCCTCTTCGGGTGAGGTTTTGACTAAGACCATATGCATATCAAAGTAGTGTTCCGAGAGCTAAACGGCTGCTTATCTGTGTGCAGTATAGAAGCCTAGCAATGGAACAATTACCTAAACACGTGAGTAGATTTGCACACGAAACTTAAAGGGCTGCTCAGTAAGAATTACTCCTCAAAATAAATACACCAACTCCACCTGCAACCATAGGGGAGACAGTATTATTTGGAAGATTTATTAGTTCTGATTGGCACATGAGGGGAATGCACCAATCTGCAAGGCTCGGGCCGCGTTTGCTAACTTGCGACACCTATGGCGTCAGAATGGTTTATCTCTGAATCTGAAGGGACGTGTGTATCAAACTACAGTACGGGCTGTTTTGTTGTATGGCTGTGAGACTTGGCCTATTCGAGCAGCGGACCTGAGACGTCTTCA